GCCTGCATTTCTTGAGCATAAGAAGAGCACATATCACAGTAGTAGCTACTTGGGCCAGCCATAGAGGGAACATCCACAGGTGTTGAAAACGGATTGATGGTAAGCAAGAAAATGAACTGCTCACCCTCAGCAAAAGCTAACATGCCTGAGATCATGTTTAATGGAACAAATTAAAACGGGTGTGAAAGGATTGTGTGAACTCTTTTGTTATATTCTGATGGAAACTTTCTTTTTTTTGAAGTTTGGAGAAGTTTTGGGAAATTGTACAATAGGGACCTATCTGTACTAGTAAGTCAATGAACAGGTAAGCTCTAGAACAGACCATCTAATTTCTAACATCTTTACTTTATCTCATGAAATCATAAAAATTACTCTGATGTTTTGACTTTCCTAAAGTCTTTGAGTATTCAAGATCCATCAAGGATTAAAAGCACTAAAACACTGCAGCAAAGGCTTTTCTGCTAATGTGTCCAGCACCCCTGGGAACCATCAGTCCTGTACGAAAATCTATTTGCAGCAATTACATAGCATTACACTGCAGGCTCAGAAGGCCTGGACAGTCCAAAAAGCATCAACACATTTTAGGTTTTTTAAACAAACCTTCAAATATGTAATCATCAGTAAACATCTTCACTAAAATGACAAAGAAATCTATGCTGCTACCTGTGCTTAAGACAGCAATGCATGCAGCACTTAACCACATAGTAAATGATTTTGTAGCGTTTCTTATTACCAGTAATTTTACAACATCTCTATTTATTCCATACATAATAGGCAGACGTGTGTTGTCATTAAACTGTTCTTAGCAAACGTTGCTGTAAAGGTATTTGGCAGGTAATAAAACATGTAGTCCTATGCTCAATACTGGCATTGCTAACAGCAGGCACACTCTTGTTCACAAACGGTATGCCACAAACCACAGAAAAATCCTGGTTTGCTCAGGATGTTAACCATCCATCTGTGAGCAAACCCAGACAGGAAGGGACACTGGTTTCAGCCCCTGGGAGGAGAACTGGAGTGGGCTATTTCTGTCTTGCTGCAACAAACACTGGGTGCAGCTCAGCAAAAGGAAAGGCTGGAACAAGACTTTTATTTTTGTTACTTGGAAAGGACTCATCCTACAGCCGGTTCTGAGCAATTAAGTTCAGCAGTTTAAAACTTAAACCTTGATGTCTTTTATTTCAGTCTTAAATGGCCAGCAGCATCAGACTAACCTGCATTCTCTAATCTTATCAGTATATACCTCTTAATAAAAATTAAAAGTCTGATCAGCATATTTAAGTAGAAGAAAGCATTAAAAAGTGAGCTAACAAGATTTGATTTTCATTGGCCTAAATGATCTGATTTTAAGTCATCTTTTGCTTTGTGTCCTTCCTGGGCTTTTGCCCTCTGCAGTCGCTCTCCCAGTGTTTCAGTAGAAGGAGAGCATTCAGACAGCCTTCGGGATCTGCAGTAGAAAAGGCCTCATGCAACTTCGTGAATCCATGGCATTTTCAGTGCAACTACAGAAAATAGCTAATGTGAACACAACAAACACTCTCCTCCTCCTGCTTGTTTAATGCCAGTGCTTTGGGGTCCTTTTCACAGAAGTCCGCGGGTTGTGAGGAGATAACTTTGTTATCACAGCAAAGTACGTCATCCTCCATGACCAAATCCAGCTCCTACCTCTTAACACCTTAAGAGCAGCTAACATGGGGCTGCAGCGGCCTGATGCTGCAACTGATGTCAAATACTAACAAATCAGAAGCCAAAGGCTTTCTAAGTATATTAAGCACTTAGAAAACACTAAAGATCCTTCACAAGTAACTGCACCAATGCATCCTTGCCACCTTCCTGCATGTCTGTAACAGCCCTCCAGCTCATCTTGCTGACAAGACTTGCAACTCACCCTAATTTCTGTGGGTTTCAGTATGTGAAGGTTGTTCACATGCAACAGGAGGAAGTGAACTACCCATTGCACTGGATCCTTTTTGTCAGTTCTCCCAAAGCCTTCCCCACCTCTGATGACTGGAAAACATTTGGGAAGCATTCCCATGGGCTTTCAGGCATTTTATGTTTTTTATTTCGAACTAATTAGCAAAATGGCAGACCTGTTGGAACAAGGTACTTGAGGACAGAGATGCTGCACTGCATACACTCTTCTCTGATACTCCTTTCTAAAACCCTGGGATTCAATAATGACTAAATACTACCAGAAGTACAACCTCCAACATTGTTTTTTTCCCCCTAATGCCCCACACACCACAACCCAAGACTCAGCAAACTCAATACAAAGCCTCAAGGCATCTAAAGAAGGAAGTCACAATACTACTTTAGCTGAGTTAATGCCACTTGCAAATCTTATATATTTATATATTCTTATAACAGAATCTTATTCCCTGAACTGGTAATTAGCCATGCCACTGCTCTCTTCCAGCAGCTACTGCAGTATATCTGAAGTTTCTCATCCAAATGCTGCTCTGTTTATAGCAGCTCCTTAATTTTAACAGTGGCTCAGAAAGGTTCTTCTCACACATGATTTCCAACATTGTCACACTAAGTTAGACTGGGTAGCAGAGAACCATAAGGAAAGATGATAGTAAATGGGGAGCTCAAGGATTTAAGAAAATAAATAACTAACGGTGTGTTACCAGCCTGTGGTGGAAGGTGTGAAATGAAGACATCTTGCTAACTGCCAGCATTGCTGCTGCCTTTGCTTAGCCTCATAGTCTGGCACTGAGCACTTCTGCCCATGAATCCCATTGCCCTTTCATCTCCTCTTCCTTCTCTGCCATCTGCCACTGGCTACAGAGTCTTTTATGAAGACTAAAGAGAGTCTTGTTTAGATGATGTACTTTGTCTCAGCCTTTCTGAGGATCAAACACTGATGTCTGTTCACTCTAGATTCTACAGCAAGGACTTGAATGTAAGTATACCACATAGAAGCCTTCACAATTTGTCTCCCAAGAACATTCTTTCCTAGTGAGTACAAGAAAAACATACAACTAATAAAAGAACCAGAGCAGTCCTTTTTGACCCCTTGACATACTCCCCTCCTTGGGTGGAAGTCGTATCAGATATGAACTAGTCTTTGCCATGTCTCACCCCATCTCTTCTATGCTATTTCAATTACCCCAAGAAGGGAATTAAGTACCCCTAGAAGCTAGGGTACTTTAAGACTGAAAACACCTTTGTTTGCTTGCATCATTGCCAATACTGAATGACTGATGAGATACTGGAATTGTAAGAATGAATTTGAGGCCTTGGTAGCAGTTCTCTGTACCCTCTCAAACTGCAGCCATAGCAAGGTTTCTCCATCTGCACAGAAGTACTGCCTGAGCAGATCACTTCAACCAAAGTCTATATTGCATCCAGTGTAACTTGCTGAATATACAGAGGTGTTACTTAGAATCATAGAAGAGTTAGGGTTCCCTTCCAAGACTTGGGTGGTGCGGTCAGAGCCTTTGCCAGTGAAGACCGAGGCAAAGAAGTCATTAAGAATCTCAGCCTTCTCCAAATCCAGGGTAGCCAGTTATCCTGATAGTTTCCAGAGGGGGCCTATGTTGTCCCTAATCTGTCTTTTATTCGCTACACACCTGTAGAATCCCTTCCTGTTATCCTTAACATCCCTAGCCAAGTTTAATTCTAACTGGGCCTTAGCTTTCCTAACCTGGTCCCTAGCTTCCCAGACAGCATACCCGTACTCTTCCCAGGCCACCTGTCCTTGCTTCCACCTTTCATAAGCCTCTTATGAAAGAGGCTTATAAGAGTGATTTTCCGGGTAACCAACAGGCACAGATTACTTATTCCAGGCTCCCCTGCCCCTTAACCCTTCATCCTACATCTTGGGCTGCAAATCAAGGAGTTACACTCCTCAGTTTTTACAGGACAGAAGTCTAAGAACTGAGTAAAGCAAGATAACAGATGGCAGACAGGAAGAATGGGTCAATAGCTGTCTCTTATTAACAGAGCTAGCCTGCTCCTTCTTTCCTCCCCTTAGGCACCGGCCAGTTTTAAGACATATGCCATAACCATTAGGCCATGGTGCTAAGGTAATAGAAAGAAGGGGATGGAAGCCCTAAGACTCTGCTAACAGTATACAGTGAATTCTTGGGCGTAGTGTGAGTCCAGTTCAACACAAATGCAATGCAATGGCCTAATATTAACAGAAGGATGGTTTTGAATATAAGAATAAACCTTTTAAGGGAATATTTTCTAAGTGACCTTAGCCCTATCTGTTTGTTTGGGGTTTTTTTGACCCACTCACCTCCCTCATTTTGAGGGTGGCAGAAGCACAATAAAGATAACAGTTAATGGAACCACATGGTGTTTGAGAAATATATAGCTCAGAGACCTTACATTAGTTAATTCTGTTCCATGTGGCCTAGAACACACACATTTTGCCTGCCTGTACCAGCAGCACTTCTGCTTCATATCTCAAATCATAAATCATTAAATCACCAGTCAGAATGACAAAGAATAAGATGCAGGGAGTCTCCTGACACCTCCTACAGATTTGCCTTATCAGAGGTGAACGTGGCAACATGTTGATGTTAACACTATCTCGTTGGTTGGCTTGATGAACAGCCATCGAAGGAAACCTTACTATGCAAAAAAGAGAAACACTAGACAAAACCAGGATACATGGTCTGTCCCATGGAAGAAAAATCTCTGTAACTCAAGTTCACACTTGGTACTGTTTCCAGTAATTTGCATGAGACTTCTCACATGCAGCAGCATTTTCTGCCTTAGGAGACAAATCGTGTTCAGTCAAAGAAACTCTGGAACCTGAATAAAAGGTTTCTCAGAAATCTTAGGGAAAGAAGTGGCAGATGAAGAGGTAAACTTATGAAATGAAGGTGGGAAAGACTGGAATGAAATGATCAGAGAAGTAGTAGGGACTGGAACTTAGCATTGGGAAGACCAGCAAGGGCAGGGAAAGTCTCATGGAAACAGTGAATTTTGTTCTAGTTCTGCATACCTTAATCTCTGTGTAACTGAGGTCAGAAAATTCAGCTTACCTCGCTCACATGTTCTACCCCAGTAGCCGGTGCCAGTGCAGTCACAAATGAAGCGGTTCCAGCCATCCTTGCAGATGGCATTATTCTTGCATGGGTAGCTGTCGCACTGCTTGGTGCTGAGGCGGGAGCAGGAAGACTTGACTCCTGCGGCATTCTGTGCCTCTGCCAATTGCCGGATGTTCTTGCTTCTCCCATCGATGAACAAGTCTCGGATACAGCCGACATAGCCATAGTTCAGCATCGCTGTCCAGAGCTCTGTGGGAAGGATGAGTCCTGCCCGGTTCTCAGGCAGCCCACCGAGGTACATGTCGCCTTCCAGATCAAGGATCTCACTCTCACCACTGGCAGTGAATGGGGTGCGTCTGCTGTTCACTGATATTGTACCTAAATGAGGAGGATAAGGAGACATTACCACTTTCACTTACGCACTCAGTCTAGTTCTTTTTTTTCCAATAACTGAGTAAGGTTTACGTTTCAGTGCAGGAAAGTGAAGATTTCTCCCTACCCAAATGCACTCCTAACAGAGACAGTGTCTTCCACATACCACACAGCTCCTTTTCCTCTTGAGCCACAGGCCATGAATTCTTCTACACAGTGACTGATCATCATGTCTGTATCCCAACTTGCATTATAAGGTCACAAGCATAACAATTCAATGCTAAATAATAATGTGCAAAAAGCTGAGCATTATTCAATGGTATTCATCCAACAAAGCAAAGACCTACTGAGAACATAAAGGATTTTGATGGTATCAGGAATGGAGAGAAAAAAGATATAAGTAAACGTGTATTAATTGACATTACATAGCTCTTCCAGAAAATACTTCATCAGTACCTCCAAAACTGGACCTGGATGATGGAACTAAGCAGACCCTCATCAAGCACCCCCATCAAAACTGGGGAGAATGGCTGATGCAGAGAAAACACAAGGCTACAATTCAGAAAAACCTTTACAAGGTGGAGTAAAAGACTGATAGAAATGTTTGATATAAATCAACAACAAATACTAAGTTCTACACTTGGGGTAGAACAACCTCACATGTAAGTACAGGTTGGGAACCAGCTGCCTAAGGAGCAGCTCTGCAGAAAAGGACTTGGGGATGTGGTGGACAACAATTCGGACACAAGTCAACAGTGTGCACTTGCAGTAACAAGAGACTAATCACAGGTTGCAGCAAGGGAAACCCCAACTCCTGAGAAAGGAATATTTTTCACCATGAGGGTAGTCAAACAGAGGAACAAAAGCCTCAGAGAGGTTGTGGAATAATCATACTGAAGGCATTCAAAACACAACTGGACATAGCCCAGAAGAAAGCCTCAATTTCAGCAGAGTTTGGGCTAGAAACCTCCAAAAGTTTGTTCCAAAATAAATTATTCTTTGGTTTTACAAAGGAAGTTATGTATTCTAACTTCTATTTTAGAAACAGAAAAATTGAGGTAGAGAAAGACAAAGGAGAACTCTGGTTCTCCTGAGGTAAAGAAAGACTCTGGAGAACAGTTATTATTATAACTAGTAGCTTCCATATGCTCCAAGCAAGATGTGGGCACAATGCACTGAGGACGTTCCTCTATATTTCAATAAATTGTCCCAGCATATAAAACAATTAGAACATATAATACAGAAATACAATTAGAACACAGGAAACAGATGCAGACAAATGAAGTGATTGGTTTAAAGTCAGACAGCTCATCCAAAGCAAAACAGGGAATATAATGCAGGTCTCACACCCCAGAGCAGCATAGTCTTCAGAAGAGTATTCAGCAGCTTTTGTGATAGGGACATCTGCCCACCACACATACAGCTAAGAATCAGCAGTTCACTCTCTCTGGCTATAAATCATCACAACCAACTGCCTTGTTATTAAGATATCTGTCCTTGGAGACAGCTATCCAAGCTTTATGATTAATTTCACATCATTGCATTTTTATCATACACCCCTACAATAAGGTGGGAGAGTTTAGTTAATAGAGTTAGCTCTATTTTGTTTTTCTGTGAGAAACCACAGTTGTGTACACATGCTTTTTCTTCAGTTGTAATATGTGTCTTCCCAAAGAACAACATGTATGACAGAGACACAAGGTATTTCATGTGTGTGATGTTCAGTAATAATTTAGGAATAATGTCAGAGGCAGCAGAGTGCCAGAAGCAACCAAGGCACAAATTAAAGGCTCAGAGAGAACCACAGTTATTTGATGAATCATTTTGAAAAACAAGCTGCAGCACCACAGATGTTTTCCCTTTTACAAAGTAGGAAAAGAGAAGATGTGACAATACACCTACAGCCATAAAAGCAGCATGTCACGAAGCCACAGGATCGGAGCCCCCATTCCAGCATCTCTGCTGTTACTCCTCAAAAGCAGCATGTGGAGTACATATTACTCAAAAGACTGGAACAGTCCAAAATATTGGAGGGCTGAGCTCCAGAGAGCTGCTACTTATGGGTAAAGCAAGCACGACCTGCAAACAGGTAAAGAAACTCCCAAAAGAGAAGAAATCCTGGATACCAAGGAAAAGTGTAAAACCTGAAGAGAGATAATGATGATGAAATGAAATGAAATAACCTAGCCAGCAGCCTAAACTTTCTGCCAGTGTTTTGTACCCTGAAGCTATTCCTGTAAGGAGATGGTACTAGCTCAGATGCATAGCACTTCCAAGATCAAGCTCCTGAGATAGACAAATTCTGAGCTGACCCTAGGAAGGATTAGTCACATGAGCTGACATCCCTTTTTCATTCATTTTTCCAAATCCCATGTTCCCAACTCTGTTTAGGTAGATCAAATCCCATAATGAGAAATTAGAAGCATCTAGCCACCTCCTTTCCAGTCCCTTAGGCACTTTGTGCAGGCTAAAGAACAGACCAGAAGACCCCAGTTACTGAGGGCAAAACTGGTATACAAACCAGTGCATTGACACAACCCTCAACCACATCTTCCCGTAGACTTTTAGCATCTGAGTGGGAGGGACACCATGTGTGTTTGGCAGCCAATGACCAGCTGAAAACGGTGTGTTCTGTAATCTGCCCAGTTTCCACTGCCTAGAAACCATGACAGGTTTTGTGGCCATTTTGAAGGAGCTTTCTTCAAGGATAAAAGGTTACAGTAAACTAGGTGTGCATGTCCACACTGTCTGCGTTTGTCACAGAGAGAAAGAACAGACCAAAGCATACACAAAGCCTAAGGGGACTGTTAATGCCAGAGGTTATTTGAGCATGACTGCCAGGCTTCCCCAGCATTTGCACTCCTGCCTTAGTACTTTGGAGTAGCGGATATTTAGATTTTCAGGCTAATTTACCAAGCTCAGCAGAACCTGAAGGTTTGGACTTATAGAAATGGGAAAAAGGGGAGAGATGACACTTAATAAAGGCCTGGCTGCTTTAGTAATGAGAATTAGAACCTAGAGGTCACTAGCTCATTAAACACAAATGGCTTCTTTGTCACCTACATTAAGTAAGTTCATTATTTCAGTTCAGTTTCTAGATGACAGGCTTCCACATTTAAAGGAAAATAATCTCCAAGGTGTAACTGTTCTTTGGTACACATGTGGGAGGAACACCAAGGACTAAAAATAAAGAGATCCTGAACTTCCTTCCACACCCACCAAAAGTAACACTGGATAAAAGTTGTTGATGCTTGCTAAAGGTATGGTGTGAAGAAATCAGTGCCAGTATCATGGTTTTCTGAGGAGACAACATCAGTCACTAGGACCATAAACACAGCACTTTTTGTCAGCAGAAAATGCAATTTAAAAAGAAAAAAAAAGACAAAAACCATACAGAAGTGTTCATTTTTTTTGAGCAAAGTGCTTTTAATTCAAAACCTGTTATCTCTCATCAGTGCCCAGAACATCACAAATCTCCCTACCAAGCAGCAGCTAAGTCACTCCTACAGCCTCATCCACCAAGCAGCCATGCAGTCTGTCACAGCCTCTTAGTCCAAATGAACATATGTCCCTGTTCCTAGGTTTTTACAAACTTAAATGGAGCTTTGTGTCATTTTTGTTTCTTCTCCTTCTGCAGCTGCCTCTCCAGGGACCAGACAGTCCCCAAGTGAGCAAGCAAAACCAAAGGCAGTAGTGAATGCAATTAATTGAGCTTATCCTTGGAAGTTAATTAAATTTTAGCAATTCCAAAGAAATCAAAGCTCCATTTATTTATTTATGGCTTCCTTTATAAAATGTTCCTATCGATGTCTTCAGGAGATAGCAACATAAAACCACACATATTAAGTCCTAGTAGAGCACTATGCCAAATACAAAGAAATTCCTCACATCATCAAAGAAAAGACTAGCTTCAGGCAAAGACCTGTTCAAACAGCTAGGCTTTGCATGGTATCTAAAAGTCAGCTCTTCTGAAAACTCAAGGGAGGCGAATTCTAGCACTGCGTTCTCTCTAGTGATGGCAGTCAGCAACTGGAAACATAAAATTAGGGACTGAAAGCTATCATGTGGAGATCACCAGACAAATTCCAAAAGCACTTGCAATGCAAGCAAAATTTCCTTTGAAGGGACATACAGCCATGCATTGAGATCCCAGGGGTTCAGGAAGAATGCAAATACAATTGTTCACATATTCTCAAGATGAAGTTACAGTGTTTGTTCATTTTGTTTCCTTACAAAATTTTACAATACATCATGAGTACTAACTCTGGGTTAGACACTTAGCACTAGAAACAAACAAAATACCTCTTGGTAATTGCATGCTAGGTATACTATTAAAAATAAAACACATTTTTGAAAATTAGAAGCTGTGAGGAAACAAATGAACATCCACTGAATGTTGACTCAGATATTAAGACTAGAATTTAGCATCCAAAACAATAAAGAAACCTAATGGAAAGCTACAAAACACTAAAGAAAATAGAACAGGATTAAAATGTTGATTTGTCACCACAATTTTGTCCCAGGTTGTGCCCATTACTCTTATTTTCCTCATGACAAGATCCCAAACCCCTGCTCTTTAAAGACATAAGATCCAGGAGAAAATGGTAATATTAGGTCACAGCAATAAGTTTTCAGTGAGTTTTTACTAAGTTTATTTTTGAACAAAAACCCAAAGTAGATCAGCGAGAATTTCTCAAACTAAGAATTGAATAATAATCAGTCTGAAGGATCTTTAACATTACCATGGCCTACAAAGAAGTCATCACTATAACTGCAAAGAGAGGTCCAGAAATATCTGAATATTGTGAGTAAAATATTAATAGATTGCCTCTGTGATATGCTATCCAAAGTTTATACTAAACATTTAATGAAAACCTAGCCATTCACATCTTTGTTTTGCTGGATAAACATCACAAGATGTTTGCATCAGAAGATTATTCATATCTAACAGGTTTTGAAGGTTCACAGAATTAATACACAGCCCTAGGTCTTGATCTAAAAGATGAATCTACTTGAGGAAAAAGTCATGACTCTACCTGATCTTCCATCTCGTTGAATATCCACATGATACCACTCTCCATCATTGGCTTTCTTCTGGGTGGCCTTGACTTTAATGGTCCCAGAGCCCATGTCCAGCAACAAGTAGAGGTTCCCATCTAGAAGCTCAACTGCAAAGAAGTCTACCTTCGTATTTTTCTGGCTCCTGGCATCTTTCCTTTCCTGAGGCTTGCCATGGGTGAAAAGGATCAGTCCATTGGGTTCGGTGGTTCGGAAATCAAATGAGATGGAGCCCATCCTTTTGGTATTCCATTTAGGCAGACTAATGTAGGCCTCGGGTGTCTCAAAGCTGATGGGATCCAGGGTAGCCACATTCTCACATACGAATTTCACTTCCCCGTAGATCTTCATCTTAGTATCACCAATCCGTGCCAAACGAGACAGCTCCAGACGAATGTCATTATTCTTATAAACAACCTGCCAGACACAAGGAAAAGTATCATACATCAATCCTTCATACAGTACAAATACCCCAATTACTTTCAGCCATGGGAGATAAACTTCTCCCAAAAGGCAGTGGGGAGCAGAAAGGAGACCATGCAAGAGTCTGACGTGATGACAGAGGGAGAGAGCACAGCCAGGAGTGTGTATAGAAATGACAGCGATGGGTAGTTTGTGATGACTATAGATCAGATAAGCAGACAGAAGAGAACATTTAACTGAAGGACAGTGAAAACAATTAACTCTACCACAGGCCGCTGTAAAAGCTTTTGTACATAAAACACAGTATGTGTCTGGTATCATATTGCTACATTAGCATAAATCCCATACAAAATACATAACCAAATGTAACCTCCATGTCCATCTCTGCTAGCCACAGCAGGAAACCCTGTACCACCACTGTCATTTCTCTATTATTCCTATAAGCCCACTTAAATACTAGGAGAGATATATGCAAAAAAAAATCTAAGCAAGTTGCTGTGAACTGTTGGTGATTGCCCTGTGGCTCCTAAAGAGCTACAAGAAAAAAAATAAACAGACCAAGAAATCTTAGATCACTACAGGCAAACTTGCTATGGAGATATCTGCATAGCTTACCTTGCTTCAAGAAACCTACGCTCTCTGTGGTAACACATAAAAGTCTGTACATATTCACTGCCCGGACTCTTACTCTCTCTGGGTAAAGGACCAGAGGTCTGGACTCTGGGATGCTACATGGATAGAAGTCAGCCAAGGGAAGAGCCCCAAACAGGCAAGCACTCCTGAGCAGGAACAACCAGCTCAGGAGTCCAGACCTCCTGCCCTTCTCTTTCTCACAAGTACAGAATTAATTCCTTGCAAAGAGGACTCCCTCCTGCCCCATGCTGTTCTCACAGAGGCAAGGGCTGGAGAAGGAACAAAACTGAAATATTTGTAAACTGTACTTCCTATCGACCACCTTCCATGCTTCTTAAACCCAGAGCTGGCACATACAGGAAACCAAAGCATTTCTGCAACTAGCATTCAATTTTGATTGAATTCCTGTTCTGCTACACTAGTGAAGATTCTGATTTCTTCTATGAAGCTATTATTTTAAAGTACTTTACGTCTCTTGCAGCATACACACGCACATACATTGGATTTCTGCTTTCAGAATGCTAGCAAGATGAGCTGTCAGCAATTTGCTATGAAAAGAGAAGGGAAAGGAGATGTATATTGTTATTTCTACCAAAAGGACAGGAAAGTCCGAGAAATGAGTGTGCAGTAAATACCAAAGAGAGAATGAGGGATAAGCTTCTAAAGTAGGTGACCTCAGGATGAAAACTAAACAAAATTACAATTCAACACGTTTTGTAGCAAGCAAAAAAATTCCAGCTTTCACTAAGCTCTTAAAGAAGAATTTCCCCAGTGCAGTCAGCACAGCATCAGATTTTCTTGTTGCAAAGACAATACACCCTACATCAGAGTGAGAGGAGAATCCAGCTGTTAATTCCCATTTGGAGTCATGGCACAAAGCTGTAGTTCCTCCCAGCAGAGGACAGCATTGACCCACAATAGCTTGTTTTGCTTCACTTCGCAAGAAAGCACTCTGCCTCACACAGACTTCGAAAACATCAAGTCTATTAGTATCTACAACAGGAATAAAATATTTTTTCAATTTAGGAGACTCTAGTAGCTCCATTTTGCAGATTAGGCATGTCAAATGCTCTCAAGAGACAGACCATACACCTCCTTCCAGTGACTCAGCAAGGCCGTGCGTTACAGCCTTCCTCTCTTGACAGACAACAAGATGCACCTCAGCCAGACACTAGTTTCAAGCACTGCATGCAGTTCTATGTCTGCATCTCGAAGAAGGAGAGGAGCTGAAGGTATAGAGGAAAATAAATAGAACAATTAAGAGGATGGGGCAGAATGCTTTATGAGGATAGCCTGAAAAGGCCAGGGCTCTTATATCTGGAGAGGACTGAGAAAAAAATGACTGGAGTGTACAGAAGACAAAGAAGGTTAACATAGAACTGCTCTTTGCCAAACTCAGCAATCACAGAACTGGATGCACTCATTGAAGCTTGTAGGTTATCAGTTTAAAAATGGATTTTTAGAAGTACTTATTTACAGAGAGTGCAGTGAACTTCTGGAACTTGCTGCCACAGGAAGTCATGGAAGCAAAGTGCATCAGTAGGCTCTAAGGGGAATGCACCACTGACAGTGGCCATGCTCACAGGCCCTCCCTAAATATCACTTGCACCTGCCACTACTGGAGGGAGACAACTGGAGAAATGGACTGACTGTTCTTCAGGCCTGCTAAGGCTTTTCTCTTGTTCTTAGTGAATCTAAGTGTATTGCAGGTTGTCCGCAATCTACCCCTTGTCCCACTGCAAGGAGAGCCTGGGAAAGAGGGCAATTGGAAATGGGTTCCTGTGGACAGAGTCCTTCTGCCAGAACAAATATACGGGACTTCTTAACTGGTATGACTTTGGCACAGTGCTGCATTTTTTATTTCACCCAGTATGGAGTCATTCTGGCATTCAAGAGAATGCCTGGCCTGAATGAACTGGGACTTTAGTGGTTCTAACAGGAGAACTGCCCTTACAGGATACTACTAACGGTTGCTCAAACCAACACTCCTCTAAACTGTATCTTGACCCAACCTTTCCCCCTATGAGAGCAGCAGATGGGTAGCACAATACCCTAGATATAACTGATGACTGGTGCTGGGTTGTATCTAGCTGTCACTCAGTGATCTTTCAGCAACTTCTGCAGGTTGCTGGCAGAAGGAGTATGATCACATCCATGAGCAACTTCCAACTCTCAGATAAGTCACATCCAGGTGACACCTCCCCGTTTCAAGTATTTGACTTGAGTAACAATTCCCATCTCTTCTGGGAAAACAAAGAGGATCTCCTGGACTTATTTGGGGTTTGCTGCAAGCTGCCTTGCATTTCACTAGTCAAACCAGTGCCACAGCTGGAGAACCCCTGAGACAGAAGACTTTTAAAGGACCTAGAGAAAATTACATGGAGCTATTTGTAAACCAGAAAGTCACTAACAATGGAGGATCTAAGAGCAAGTTTGAAAGAAAGGACTAAGAAAGCAAGCACAAAGGAAGAGTTGGAGAAGAGAGGAGAAACGGTGTTGAATAGATACAAGAGTTCTGAATTCAGTCTTTTCAAAGAAACAAAGCCACCCCGATAAGAATCTTTATGATTCAAGTGTTTGTCATCTACATTATTTTCTTTAAAAACAAAAAAAAGAACAAAAACAAACAAACAAAATCAACCATAACCTAGCTTGAGAAATTTTAAGCACCTGTACTTAAGGAAAAAGTACAAGTGTTCACATAGCTGGCTTGAGATACTGTTGACAGCCACGTTTGGACATCAAGATGTATAAACCACAACTCTCAGCACTATAAACAAAAGGATAAAAATAATCCTTGGGTGTAAACCCAAAGTGAATCCTGAGCAGGAATAGAGAGGCAAATCATCTCTAGCTTGAGCAATGAAATGTGAAGGCAGCTACTTATATCTGCAGTTCAATTGTTAAACCGAAGGTTCAAGAACACGAAAAGGGAATACAATTAAATGACTGGAATGCATGTCCCATAGTGAAGAACATTCAAATTCAGTCCGTTTAATAGGTAGAGGTTAAAGGGTGATTCGATTACAATCTATGAGTGCCTGTGCAGAAAATGGAATTTGGCAATAGAGGGCTCTTCAATCCATGTGACAAAGGAATAATGGGATCCGGGGGCTAGAAATTGAAGTGTGAGAAACTCATATTTTAAAATATTATGACTTATTTTTACATGAGGGTAATTTGCTATTGAAATAATTTACTACAGGTTACGGTGTGTTCTCTGCTACTGGCAAACTTTAAATTAAAATGGTATCTTGCTTTCCCTAAAAGACATAGTGAGACAGGAATTAATTATGTAGCAAATCAGCCTAGATTATCATAATGGCTCTTTCTGGCCTCATAACCTATGAATCTTTGTGTTTTGATGAAATCAACAGAGGCTTCAGTGCAGTTTTCTAAGATAGATGAAACACATCCTTCTCAAATGTTAAAACTGCCTGGGAAAGGAGAAGATGCTCGTGTCAATTCTGGTCTGACTTGCCACCAATGCTTTCAGTAAGGCTTTATAACGTGTGTGATCCTATCTTGCATTAAAAATGACGGCAACTAAGAAAGCTAGGACAAAAACTTGATTCTGTAATTCTAAATATATGAGCTTCAAGAACTTCTTTAGAGAGTCACTGTCACCTGCTACAAGCTAGAGAAGAAATATTTTCATGTTTTCACTGAGGAATCTATCTGCCCACAGTTTACCTATCACCTGCATAACATTTCCTACCTTGTAGTCTCCCTTCTCCAGCAATCTCTGGATTCAGTGCTGTTCATAATATACCAAAATAGTGATTGAAACTCACACCTCTAACTCTAATCAAGGCCATAACCGACTCTGAGAGTTGTCCCTGACTAGGACATCGTTTCTAGTGCCACTCTGGGCTGTGGCTTCCATAACAGCTTAGAAGTAAGCAAAGCAGTGAAAACAGTGCCCATAAATTTGTCCATTTTTATCAGATGGCTTTCTGAACAAAGCTAATCTTGCCTGTTTAAATGGAGACAAACTTGAGTTTATCTGATATATATATATCGGAGAAGGTCAAGAGGCCTAAGGGAGTCAAGAAGATGATTCCTGGTACAGACATACACATCTACTTTGCAGTTTTTCTAGAAAGGAAGGTAGAAAACAAAAGGGAGAAAATGACTAGCAAAAGCTAAACACAGAGCATTGAAAAAGTAACCCTCATGTTCCCAATCTTAAAGTTGCTTTATATTCCAAAAATTATGTTAGAACAATGACAAAAGGTTTTTCCTCTTCCATGAGGATTGCTTCTAAAATCACTTTAACAAGAATATTTTGACTGTTCAATGCACTTGCTTCATGAACTGGACCAGTACAGATGGATGGTCAGGGACAGAATAGTCCAGAT